AGCACTGCTTACCGCTAATCTATTGTGAATAAGGTACCCCACAAGAAACTCAGTTTTACCATTTGAGTTATAACATGGAAGGCCTCCTACCTACCATTACCTCAAAATGTGGGGGTACCTTGCAAAGGTGCCAGCACCACTACCTAAGAAGACCAAGTTAGGAACAAAATTGTAGATTGCGTGTTCATAGGCTATGCATTGAATAACAGTGCCTATAGGTTTTTTGTACATAAATCAGAGATCCATGATATTCATGTGAACATGATTATCGAGTCAAGGGAAGTTGTGTTCTTTGAAGATAGATTTCCTAATAAGAGGGATAATTGTGAGACTTCTACGAAAAGAACATACGAAACTGGGTTCAGGGATGAAAGTCTTAATGAACTAACAATCAATGAGGAAGTTGAACCAAGAAGGAGTAAGAGAATGAAAGTCTCTAAATATTTTGGTACATACTTCGTAGCATATGCGCTCGAGAGTGAACCTCAAACATTCAAAGAGGCTATGTCTACACCAGAAGCACAAATGTGGAAAGAAGCTGTAAACAATAAAATCGAGTCCATTCTGAGTAACCATGCTTGGGAGTTGGTTGACTTACCACCATGGAGTAAACCACTCAGGAGTAAGTGGATTTTCAAACAAAAATTAAAATCTGATGGATCGATTGAGAAATATAAGGATATGTTGGTAGCAAAGGGATACCGACAAAAGGAAGGACTTGCTTACTTCGATACATATTCACCTGTAACGAAGATAACATCCATTCGGATGTTAATTGCGATTGCTGCTCTGCACAATCTACAAATACATCAAATGGACGTGAAGACTGTGTTTCTAAATGGTGAATTGAATGAAGAAATTTATATGGAACAACCAGAAGGGTTCCAAGCTAAAGGCTAAGAGCACAAGGTGTGCAGATTGGTTAAGTCCTTATACGGGCTAAAACAAGCTCCAAAATAGTGGCATGAGAAGTTTGATAGTGTCATGATCAATGATGGATTCACTATAAATGAATGCGACAAGTGTGTTTACACTAAGATAGTTAGAGAGGTATGCGTTATAGTTTGTCTATACGTAGACGGCATGCTGATTCTTGGGACTAATGATGAAGTCATTAAGTCCACCAAACAAATGCTAATCAACAATTTTAATTGTTAGAATCGTAGTAAATAATTTAGTTTTAAAGCAATAACCGAAATCAAATTGAATAAAATATTCCTGAAAAGAACTGTTAGGAAAAGCACTTTCTGTAGGGGGGGAGAGAGAGAGAGAGAGAGAGAGAGAGAGAGAGAGAGAGAGAGAGAGAGAGAGAGAGAGAGAGAGAGAGAGAGAGAGAGAACTAGAATTGCAGGAGTGAGGTACGACTAGTGACGAATCTCCTTAAGACAAATTACGCCCCCTACTATGGTGCTTACATGATGATCAAACGCTGTCTCCCAAGATACAACACTCCTTCACAGCTTCGGAAAAGCACCTCTACAAAGCTATACTAGCGAACCAAAGCTAACTGTGCCCTCCACCACTTGACTAGAAAGGAAAATGAATGGAAGAAGAACGAACACAAAATTTAGATCTCTCTTAAACACACTGGATTTGATTCAATGTTGAGTGTTTTGGGAATGAGATTTTGGGTTCCTTTTATAGGGACTAGGTGTCTTTTGAAGACATCCCTTCACCAGAGGACGTATCCATTTGGAAAAAAAAGAAGCGATTGTTCGTGTTCAAACAGACACAACTCAACTGAACAGTTACGACTCTTCGTGATTAGATGCACCCATTAAACTTTAGTTTTGGTCCATCTTCCAACTTGAATATCTCATTCATTCGGAAACCGGTTTGGAAAAGTGAGTATAATAGATTCATTGCGTTTGAATAAAGAACACATTCAAACTCACTCTCATCCATTTCGGACAGTGGAAACCATCAAAAAGTTTAGCTCAATTTGCCCAAAAATTTACTTGGAAAAATCTAAGTTTCCCTAACAATTACTAATATATCTATATAAGACGAATGGTGAATTAGTATTAAAAAAACCTTAACTTTTGACGATTATTAACTCACTGCAAGTCGTAAAAATTGATCTTAAATTTGTATTAATTGAATTGTTTGTTACAAATTGAAAATTACTTTTACACAGAAGCAGAGAGAGTTAATTTGATCTCTCCTTGTTTAACGTGTGATCTAAGGGGCAATAGGATACCTCCCTCGATGCTCATGTCGAGTTTGCTTTCCTTTGACGATTTGAACGAGGTCATAAACAAACTTCAGTGCATGGTAGAAGTTTGGTTGGATGATTTCGAGCACTCAAGCCAAAATTTGAAAGTCGAATGCACAAGAATGCTTAAAGTTTGGTTCTCTTGAATGCCAAGAAGTCGAAGCCCATTGTCTGTAGCCATTCATGGCTTTTTATAGAGGAAGATGAGTTGTAACCAACTCCTAAAACGTGGAGAAGTGGTTGCAACCACACCCACTATTCAGGCTTAGTGGTTGACTTGGTCAAACTGTTCAGGTGAACTTGACCATTCAGGCGAGCTTGACAGGCGAGCTTCGTGAGTTAAGTGTTTAGGCGAGCTTAACTCGTGTTGGCAAAGTTAAGTGTTCAAGTGAACTTAACTTCACACGAGTCATGCTGGCAAAGTTCAATCAGTTCAGGCGAACTTGACTTGGCTTGGTGTGCAGAGTCAGACAAACTTAACTTAGCTCATGTGCACTTGGTTGTCCAGGCGAACTAAGCTTGGTTCATGCGAACTTGAACATGAAGGTGAATTCCGAACATGCAGGCGAA